TATATATATATATTCGCATATTTTGCTTCTTCCAATGTCAAAAGTAGTAAGAGAGTAATGTTACTGTGTGCATGAGTGTTTAAACATTGTATAGTATATATATGTTACTGAGTATGGAATCTCAGGTGTTCACGACAGTATTACTAACAGTGTATTGCTAACATTGTTTGAATCTGGAGATAACAAATTGGAGAAAGATTTTAGTGAAGAAATATTACTTACCAGTATCTTCGCCAATACAGTATTTCTGTATGCTTTTTACTTTGCCTTTATCACCTCTGAATATTTGATGGATCCCCCCACTTGCCTTTAAATACAAAATATAACTCCTCAAATAGAAAAAGAGACATATGATTTTTAAGATATTTTCTTTTCTTTTTGTCTCTGAAACTTTTCATATTGCAGTGGAGATTGCTTAAAGTGACAAAAGGTTAATCCAAAAGGTAGAGATTATCATAAATAGAACAGAGTCCTCAATATTTTCCTGTTTTGTCTACATGAGAATTTAAAAACTACAGATTAACCAAAATGCTTCTATTTCTAAACCAAAATAGAATTTCAAGAGTCATGTTGTTATTTCTTCACAAGCGCAAATCATCAAATGTTGCTCGCTTCGTAATAGCGAAAAAGAAGAAAGAGACGCAAGAACACACATGTGTGTCGATTGTGGCCAGAGAGAAACATCAACAGAGTACTTTTTGCCTTCATCTATCACACACGTACAAAAACAGGCCTACACACTGTGTATTGTGACATTAAGATAGCGTATGTAAGTCAGATGTACAATCTCTGATGGGTCATGACCTATTGTGTCTATGAAGCTAGATAACACACACATTATGTGCATGTGTTTCATGACATCACTGGCATTGGGCCTTTTCACCTCTCCAGTGCAGAGCATAGGACAGTGCAGAATGCTGATCAACTCATGTGTCCTGTGTGACTGATCGGCAGATTAAGCAAGCTGACAATGTCAAAGAAAAATCACTGCGTAAATCCTGCAGCTTAAATTGCAGACACTGAAAGAGGTAGATTAAAAAACGCTTTCTGAAAGTGAAATTTGCCACAAGCATGGCATACCTGACTCTAGGCTGTTGAGTTATTGCTGCGAAAGGAAAACGCTCAAACTAAAATGACAAAGAGCTGTGAGTTTTTCCAGCCCGTCTAGAAGAAAATGAAGAAAAGGAACCATGTTGGAGCAATCTTTCTAAACCGCAAATACAACTGAACCAAACAAAATATGGCTGTCCCGCAGCTTTCTTTTAAGCGATCTCTACTGTACTTCCTGTCACATGTCAAAGGTAAACATATTTTAAGTTTTTAAAAATAATAATATTTATGTACATATTTGTTAAGAGCAATGTCCAACAAATGAAATTAATTTAAGATGTATGATAACACTGTTCAGCAGACCACTTACAAAAGGATCAGTAGAGCTTAAAAAGATGCAAGCTGAGGTTCACTCATATCTTATGCTTTTTTACTTTTTGTTTCAACACTTTATGGCGTTTGTTGAAAGTAAGGAAAAAGAATTAAATCTGCACCCTCTATCCTAATTTTTGTCTCTCTGAGAGTGGGATTATCACTCTGAAAAGATTTCTAGATGTGAAAGCACAAGTGTTATTTTGAAACCACATTGTATTAAACTAACTATTGACCATGACCTTTCAAACTTTGGGTTTAAAAAAAATTTATTTATCGCAGTTTGTTAATTTGAAATATACAGGGTGGCTCCATGATGCTGGAATCAGGCTCTGTATGTTACATTGTAACAGAAGCTATTTGTGTGTGTATAATATGTGTGTATGGCTTTAAGTTTGATAAAAATGAATAACATTTGCGCAGCGCAAGTTCTCGCTCAGCAGCAATCTCTATGCGCTTTACAATCTATATTATTACCCCAGCAGACCTGATAGCATTCTGAAACAATTGTAACTTCCTGGGTGCAAGCTGTCATTTTATAAGCGCTAAAACAGTAACATACTGACAAGATCTTTCGCTGTCTATGGCCAGGTACCTATTCACACCAGGTTGAAGTGAGGAAAATATGTGTAAAGCCGGTAAAGTGCCTTTTCCAAGGACAACATCAGGTCTGAGGCTCGAACCCTAGAAACCCACAACATCATGATTACGAGTTTGGTAGCCTAACCATTAGACCAATGACACAGTGGAACTTGGATTCAATAAAAACTCGGATTCAACAAAAGAAGATGGATACCCCGTTTTTAAAATTCATTAAAATCAACAAAAATAGCTCGGATTCAATGAACACATAAATGAGTGAACTCGGGTTCAACAAAGTCGCTTGCTGGGCGAACAGCTCCCACTGATGTGGTTTTGGCCATGTTTCTCCCACAACGAATCTTATTTACTCTATTCGAAGAGACAGTTGATTGCACCATGGAACATTACACCTTGGGGGGTTTTTTGTAAGTGTTATACGGCGCTCGCAACTGCATAAGGTCATTATGAGTGCGCAGGACACATTAATCAATTTTTAGTTAGGTAGGAATTAATTTTGAATTTAGCTGAACCCTACTCTTAGCGATTTTGGACCACTAAGGGATCTTCAAAGCCCGCAATTTGCTCTCGGGACCTCCGAGATTTTTCGTCCTTCCCTACCATAAGATCAGGGGTGTGGCTGAAAGACAGAAGTAAAATACTAAAAAGGATCCAAGCAGTCATGGAGTAGCAGTAGAAAGTCAGCAGAAAGAGTGAGGAGCCCTGATGAGGTGGGGGGGGGGGGCACAGAAAGTGGAGACGAAAGCAGATGACAGAATGATATGGTTAGAGCAGGAAAGGAGAAAATTGGGAGAAGAAAAAATTTGTCGCCCTCAGGTTTTGAACTCGGGACCTAATGAAGGAGTGGCGAACACTAACTTCTAGACCACGAGAGCCCCCCCCCCTACATTGTGATGCAGTTTCTGGCCCAGATTAATATTATATATATATATTGCTTTTAATGAACATTCGGATTCAACTAAATCAAAGGTCAGGCCTAACAACTTCATTATGTCCGAGTTTCCCTGTACCATATATTTATGTTTCAAGCATAAAGACCGGGTTCGAATCTTTCAAACATTTTTCTCAACTTTCTGGTTTACACACAATTTGGAAACTGGCATCTACGATGCAAGAGCGAGGCTCATTCGTCTTGCCTGAAAGAAGATGTAAGCTCAGCTCATGAGAGGAGAATATCTTCATCAAAGCTGGGAGGGATGTATCCTTCTCAACCCAGGTTGACCCTGACATGCAGAGTTGAAGAACTAGCTTTCTAAATTGTTTTCCTGATGGCACATAATGTACAGTCAAATGAATTTGGATTACTATAGGCAGTCCCATTAAAGAAATAAAATGACTTTTGAAAAAAAAACATCTTTTAAAATAATGTAAGAGTTTTAATAACGCTCTCTCCCTCCCCTCCCCCCTCAAAAAACAAACCCAAAACAAACAAACAACAAATAAATAAAAATAAATTGACAATTTTAGATCATTAAGGGCCAACCTGGGCTGAAAAGAATACAACATCACAGCAGAAAGACGGAGACGCTTGCTAAAAATTTCCTTAAATGGGAATCGAATTCCGGTTTCCTGCCTGCTTGGACGAAGTGCCTCAGCTGACTCAGCCTTACACCACAGACACCAACCACTTACTGGAGACTAACTCTAGCTTTACCATGGGAGGTCGGAAGATGTAACTCGGAAATGTCCCCCTCGAGCTGTTATACAAAGATCCAGCATTTCACTCTTTTCTTCCTTTTTAAAAAAAATTCAAGTTACTTTAGTCTATGTTTGGTTAGTTTTAGTAGAGGTTTTACGGCGCTCGCAACTGCATATAAGGCAAGGTCATATGAGCGCCAGAAAATTAGACGTGTTACAAGAGAGTAACAAACATAAAAAAGAAGAAGGGGAGATAAGGATGATAGATGTTCGATAGGAAAGAAGGAGCAACCCACATCAGAGCACCCGTCAACCACACACAGGCTATGTTTGGCATTTTCCCACAGCAACAGACTCGACAACACTCCTGCATCAACATGGCTCTTTTGAAAAAACAATCATGTTTTTTCCAACGGTCCAGTCTATATGTACAAATCCGTCCCCGTGGTTTTATGCATCACGCAAAATTTAGCAAAATTTGATCATTTTTTGCATAATTTCTGATTATTTTCCTCTATCATTCTATGTTAAAATTAATAGAATCGCATAATTTCACATTTTTGGGCTCAGTTTGTGTAATTTCTGAATTTTTCTTGCATAAAACGACAGGGACAGACAAATAAATAAGCAGCTCCAGAGAACCAACCTATGCATACCATTGGCAAAATTTCTGAGAAAAAAACAAAACAAACTAGGACCAGTGAACAGAAAATTAACTGAAAACTTTATTATGAATACAATTATAGCATGTGGCGGTAGAAGTAAGTACGCATATATCTCTGCAGCAAAGAGAAAAAAGAAACAGAGTTGAGTTCAAGTCTCAATTTTGAGTTTCCCAACTGGAAATGTATGTCTCCTTCTTATTGATTCTTAGACAGTGAAACGAGTTAAATTGTTTGTAACTGATGGAAATGTTTAATGATTTGGGTCTTTCTACCTCAATGACAAAATCTGAACATCCAAAAAAAAAAAAAAAAATGGAAAAAAACCCATAGATCTACCTACTGACCACAACTTACAACAAATATTTTTCCCTCCGTCCAATTCATTTTTTTAAAACTGAAGGCTGAAGGCAATTTCCTTTATTTTGACCTGTTTGGAGACAGCAAAGTTTTCCTTCAGGTTATTTTCACAACTGGACAACCAAATCGCTGGACCATGTACATAATTTCAGTGACCGAGTGATTATTTCCAGATAACTTTTTAAAAAGTTATTTTTAAAGTAAGAAAATACGACCAAATAAGGCCCCATTACACAGCCACCCATTAGGAAAATGTGCAATAGTTTTTTAACTGAAAAAATATGAATTTCCATGCACGACCACTGCTCCAAAGCTATAATAAGGAACCAGGAGAAATTGTTAAACAATGAAGCAAAAAATAATCAAGCCGGTGCACTGTAACTTCTAACAGTTTGGAAATTTCTGTGAGAATATTGACACCATCCTGCATTTGTATAAAAACAAGAATAATTTACTCATTCACCACAGCTGACCAAAAGATTATCTCAGCATCTTCCTCATTACAACGATGAGCCGCTTCATCAACTCAACGGAATGCCTCTATTCTATAAATACTTAACCAGTTCCAAAATAATATCCATGTTTAGATTTGATACCATATCGTTTCCCCCCCCCCCCCCCCCCCCTCAAATTTCCTTTTCAATTTTGTTTCTTTAGGTATATAATATTATACCTTTATATTCTGCTAAACAAATAGGCAAATCAGTGGGCAAAACAAAACGTACACACTTAACATGTGCCTGCCACTGGAAGGAATTACAAACGAGAGGGTAAAACATTACATTTTGATTGAGTTAGGACATTCCTGTAAACAGTGAGAACTACACTAATATATGAGGATCAATAACTCATTCCTGTTTTCTAAAGTAAAATTGAATCAACCAAAAAAAACTTTCTGGTACATTTGAGTTTCATCATAAGTACTCTTTACACTTCTGGACTGAGACTCTTTATATGAACTTGTACAATTGAAAAGAAAATGTTCTAGAAAATCACTGTATCTAGAGTAAAGAATGTAACGTTTATTTAATTTGCAATTCCCAAAAGTAAGATCCAAATAAGGTTAGGAAACATGAGAGCTATTATAACACCAAGCATTAACATAAAAATTGCAGAGGGCTTAAAAAAACCCACCAAAAAAACCCAACAACAACACAGCTTTTACTGATTGGTTGGTTTCATGAAGCTTTGAAAATAAATATGGAAATACTTTCCTCATGCAAAGTAGCTTATCCATAACAAATGGCTCTCAAGCTAAAACCGGAGGAAAGACACAAACATGTAGTGATACAACACACTAATTATATTGATAAAAAAAATAACAACAGGCAAGTGCAATTATTCCCTTACTTAGAAAATCATTAAGAAACTTTTCTGTCTATGTCCTCTCACGTCATCATAAACTCTCAATATATTAGATTTTAAATCATTCTTACAGTGGGCTTTGCTCAAAATGAATTTTGTAAAATTTGTTTTGGATATAAAGTTGCCCTTTTTGAGAAAGGGCCAAACCACACAGGAAATAAAGAGAGAAAGGATGGTTTTTAAGTTGATTGTTGATTTTTTCCCTGACAACTTCTAAAGCACAGACTTAAGTGTTTTCACCTACTAAAAATTCTCAAAGCCATTTACAAAACAATGCTTAAAGACTGCTTTCCATATTTCCGCACATGAAAATTTTACCCTAATGTATTTAGGAAGCAAGAGAACATTGCATATCATTGGCATTATTCCACAAGCTCCAAAGTCATTTTGGAAGTATTGAGAAAATTAAAGAAAAAGAAAGCCTCCAAATCAGAATCACGACAAAGGCATTAATTATTTCTGTAAAAAAACCAACCTAGGAAGTACTTAACAAGAAAGAACGAAGCTATTTTGTAAGATGTCTCGTCTCTTAGTGTCTTTTTTCGAATGGCTTTATCTAGCCTCCCCCCCCCCCGAAATAGATGTGGGCGATTGTGGAGCAACACTGCTGTTGAACAGCAATAATGTCATAATGCAGAAACGTTCAAAACAGACCAACACATGGAAAAATAAAGGTGACCTTTCTTTCCAATATGAGTCAGTGAGTGCATAGTATGAGCAAACAGAAGTTTCTATTCTGAGAGACATGGCACACATACTTAGAACTGGAGTTGATAAAAAAGCAATGGTTCAAACCAAAGTAATGTCACCAACACATTTATTTATGATACTTACACAACTGCATGCTTCAGGGTACACTCCGCTACACTTTCACATAATCCATTAAGAAATTTTGCCTATGACAATTTTGGATTTTTAATTTTTAATGAGAATCAGCACAAAACAGGGGTGTCACAACTCATTAACCATCTCCTAAAGGAAACTGAGGAGTAAAACTCCCTTGCAGTACTGGCCTTTGCAATAATGCCATGTTCTACCTTTTCATTTTCAAAAGTACTAATGCAAGGAAAGTCCTTCAACTCTTTCCTGCTTAAAAAAACCCAACAACTAACATAATATTAATATATATATGGATGAAAATTTACTCGAACTGAGAAACATGTGGGGGGGAAAAAAAGACAATATTGAACACAAAAGCTTGACAATGACAAAATTCATAAAGTGGGCAGAAAAAAAAGGTGTACAAAATACAGACAATCAACAAAATGCCATACTTGTCCACAAACGCAACCTTAATCCAAACAGCAAAAATAAAGTGAATCTTAAGCACTCTTCCACAGGACCCAGGGAAGCATAGCACAACATCATTGGATAAGTGTGACAATAACAATAAAAAGAAATGATTAAGCAAATGAAAAAGCAAGAACCTTCCAATCAGAAACAAAGGAAATGAGCCATACAAACAATGGGAAATCATTGACCAAATTTTCAATTTAATGGACGATATATTTATAATTTCAAATTTTTCAGAGGTCTATTAACTATGCCTTGCCTCTTCTAATGCAAACTATGTCATTAGATTATCAATTTGGAATCTAAATGATGGAGTTATTTCATTAGTTTTATAAACAACACTGTAAAAAGCCACAGATGTAAGATTGAGCTTCAAAATGCCATTCAATAAAGTCATCATTTAGCCTAACATGTGCACAGAAAATACCACTGCACAAAAGCAAGACACATCAAGAAGATTTCTTAAGACAATAATCAATATTTTACAAAAAACAATTGTTGCTTTTGTCAATAATCTGTACTCTAAAATCTATACTTCAAGCACGTTCTAGATGTGAATGGCAAAACTAACGACTTTGGTTGGGATTTTTATTTTTTTCATTTCATAAAAAGTTCATTGTCATGTTGGAAGGAAGGCAAGCATGAGCATTTTTTTTTCAAAATTCTTCTGTGCCAAAAGTCTTAGAATCTGCGTAAGTCAGGATACTTGAACGATTCTAAATAAATTTCCTTTCTTCCCTTTAAGCACAAATGCATGAATATTGCCCTTTCACTACATGTAACCGTCCAATAAGATGGAACAATACCAGAGCCTAGCCCATGTTTGGCCTAGCAGCTATTCTTGAGTGTAATAATATATGGACAAGATGAGTATGTCAGGTTCTCATAACAGTGGAGAGGGGAAACAAGTCTGGGTAAACCCCCAACCTGTTCAAAGAGAGCGAGAGAGAGAGAGATATGAGAAAGGGTGTGTGTGTCTGTGGGAGTGTGTGTATGGGGGGTGGGAACAGATATAAAACAACCTTTGAGAAGGCCATTACAGATGTTGCAGTCAGCTTCCTCCACCTATGTTAGTCAACAGTCTTGACACTGACACAAGAGGATATATATAAGATCAACCATGAAACAACACTACGAGGAAAAGACCTGAATATTCTGTTTACTTCTCTGACGGTGATGGGGGGGGGGGGGGAATAAATAAAAATTGATCCTAGTAAATGAGCGTTGATGAACAAAGTGAATGTGCTAGATGAGGACAAAGTAGTGAAGCAATGAGTACAAAGTAAAGCAAAAACCATGAACTGTGCTGTGTCTCCGAGACAGATATAACAAGCAGACAGTGGGAAAGACTCCACAAGGAAGTTGCTGTGGTTTACAGAAAGGAAAAAAACAACTATTAAAAACAAAAAAAGAAGCACTTGTTGACCCAGTATGAGCCGGTGGGAGTGGCTTCGTGCGAGGTAGCCGACAGTGGCTCTCTACACTGACCCTTAATAAATACACGCAAATTTTACCACATCAACCCTGGTTATGAGGAAAATAGCTCTATTTCTCTTCGTACTTTCATTTTGGAGCGTCTGTTCGAGCGTGAAGGCTAGATCTGATGAAATTTGTTCCCAAATAGCTGATTTTCTGCATCAAGTTTGTGACGGTTACAGATCATTATGACCGAAGACAAAAAGTGGATACATGGGACAAAAAACTGATCCTGAAATGTAAACATAGTGGCTATTTTCGTTTTGGATTATACTGTGATTAAAGTTTCATTTTGTTTTTATAGATCTATATCTATGTTCAGGTTAGTCCATGTAACATTCCCCCCCCCCCCCCCCCTCGTTCTAACCCTCATCTTAGACCTGAATACTGCAAAGAAAGTATACCATTTTTTGCTGCTTTCACTTTTGCTCCGGGTTGAAGTATGAAAAAGTTAGTTCCACATCAATGTGAAGGGTGTTATAGTCTAGAACACTGCAACTATTTTGTTGTTGTTGCTGAGTGGCTATTAACTTCGATAGTTTATTTTCATACTTTTTACAATGCATCTGAAGTGGACACCCATGAATGCAACTTTCAAGTCTAAACCCATAAACCAAAAGTTTTGATGTGGGCCCAGTAGTTAGAAAATGATACACATGTACTTTTGCAACCCATCCTATCACTGTACAAGTTCATTCCCAGGGGTGGGTTCGATCAGAATGAAAACCCTCTACGCACATGAAGAGTTTGACCAGGAAATTTATTCGCACCGAACGAGCAACATCTAACTGTGTTGAAACTATGATCTGATCTTTATTACACAAACAATAATGGACATTTCTGTCAGGCGTTTCCAAGACCCATTATTGAAGTCATACTATTTCAATCCCAGCAAAATAAAAAGGCCGTACAGAGAACAACACATAAACAAAAATGTGCCAGTCCTAGAGTTCGACCAAACATGGATTTGATGCTGATTAAGATACTCTGTCTATAAAGATGTGTGCGGAAAATGTGAGTTAAAAGAAATTCTTAACGCTCAGTCTACTGACCCCATGACATGAATGTTTATTCTCTACTGCATAAAGAGCAACACTTCAGTCTTCCTCAAAAGATTAAGGACAGACCCACAGAGAAATGGGAAGACAGCACCAAAAGGAAGGGTGATAAGCAACCATACAATTGACACACACTAAAGGGGGGAAAAAAAGAACAGACAATAATAACAACGGTAAAAACAGAAAATAATGAACCAGGATTACCAGACTGTGCGAACCATGACTAAAATGTACACAAAAAGTTCCATGATCACAATTGCCTATGTGAAACCTTTTAGATTTTCTGAAAGATGTGGGACCATTGCTCCATCCTTCCTCTGCCCCAAATTCATTATCAACCTCAAAACTAAAACCTTCTTCATTCAAACATAAAGAAGCGAACCAAAAAAAGTCACAAAATTAAAAGATTGTGTTTATCCTTTCTGCAATACATACACCTATCTGGGGAAAACTTTCAGAGCTACTGTAACTTAGTCTTCAATTTCATTTCCCTACAATAAAACAAAAATTTGTAAAAATAAAATGGATATAAATTTGAAAGAATTTTTTTTTTCACATAAAAAAGACAAAAGTAATCAAGGAAGTCTTCAGCTGCACACACATGGACAGGTCTCTTAAATATGATTAGAGTGGTCTTCATTGACAAAAAATGAGCAGATGTTACACCGTTACTTAAATCCGTGCAGATCTGGTTCACCAAAAGCCACTCTTTCTGTTGGGCCCATCGGGCAGGCCCAGAGTGTGTTTCGCTTTGGCAACCTTCTGCCTTTATATACGAGCTCTTAAAAATCAATCCTTCCATCCTTACACCTTGCAAGGATCCTCATCATCACCGACCGTCATCACCATTTCATTTCTTCTTTCAACAGTAGCATAATTATGATATAAATCATCTGCGAGGCAGAAAAAGATTTTAAGGGAGAGTATTCAAAATAGCAGGGTCTCCCATTACGGCTCAACAGCACCCCCGGCCCTGAGGCCTGAATCTCTGGTAATTCAAACTGTAAATCGCTTCTTCTGTGGTACAAGTGTTGGTCCAATCCCATCTGAACAAGACTCAACTGTCAGAGCTGAAAGTGGGACGGTCAGAAGAAGAACAAGTTTCTCCGAGAGAACAGTGCTAGAGGGTGGGGAATCCGGGAAGGGCTGGAGGGTAGGAGAAATAATGACTTTTCACTTTCTTTTCTTTTTCTCCCTTCCCCCCCTTCCCTAATTTTCCATCATGAGCACGAACGACATTGGTTATGGGGTGGGGAGGTAGCAGACGGTGGCTAGCCCGCACATCTTCCTCCACCTCCTTCCATCCAGTTTGCCGCTGCTTTAGACAGGTTCCACTCTGCCGATGAGGGCAGGTTCAGCTCGATGACCAACTCATACCCAGGGAGTCCAGCCTTCGTAGAGTACAGCCAGGTTGTCAGGGTTCTTCGCCTCTTTGATAATCATATCAACCTGGGAGAGAGAAGAAGAGAAGATGGAGTAAAGAAAGGCACAGTTAAAAAATAAACACCATTTACTAGAGAGAAAAAAAAAAGAAATATGTTTAGACAGAAACAAGAGAGGGCAGGGAAAGAAAAATGAACGACCATTCATTTGAGAGAAAAAAAGAAAGATATATATAGATAGCAACAATAGTGGGAAGGGAAATAAAAATTAACGACCATTCATTAGAGAGAGAGAAAAAAAAAAGAAAGAATAGAGGAAAAGGACAGAAAAATTGGACCTTCCCCTTGTGAACTGCAGTTTTGTGGATGTGGAAAAGCAGAGCTGCCAGCAAGGCTCTAGATCATCAGTCCATATCAATACACCCCGCAACCGACTTACAAAATACTTGCAGCTTAAGTGCAACCCTCTCAACTCTCTTCACTATCAACACATCAGCAAATTCGAAAGAAATATTCTTCAAGAAAATCCAACCTTTTCAAATAAAGGATAAGTAGTAAAGCACGTGTACTTTGTCTACTTTTCGAATACACAATCATACAACATTCTAGAATTTCAATACGCTAAAAATAAACGTCCATACCTGCTCAGCCACACTCATCCTCTTGTTTGGGTCTGGATCTCTTCCCTCCAGTTTCATCTTGACCCTTCTCCAAACACTGACAGCGTATGAGTTACGTTCCTGAAGAGCTGTACAGTGAGAGAGAAAATTTCCTTACATTAGCTTCACTCTTCTCAAAAATAGATTAAAAATAGAGTGGTTTTTAGGGACAACAACCTAGCCAGTCTTCAACTGGGCACTCGTTACTTATCTTTGACAGATAGACTGCCGGTCTTGAATGTAAAAATATTGTCAACTTGTCAAGTGTTTGTTTTAGTAAGAGTGTTACGGCACTTGCAACACAATTAGGTTATATAGGTGCCGAAGATTAGAGATGTTACAAGGGAGTAACAAACACAAAAAAAGAAAGAGGAGATACAAACGATAGATATTTGACAGGAAAAAAGGAGTAAACCACACTAGAGCACCCACCAACCACCCACTTGAGAAGTGAAGCCTGAATGTAAATTAAATCAAGTTAACACTTTTATTTGGGGAATTGATACAAAAATTTGAAAAAGGAGTTCATTTAGAACAATTCATCTAGACTTCTGAAACACAAATTTTCATGGACATAGTCATCTGTAAACGGTTTCCCCACAACTTGAAGCAAAACTCAACAAACAGCCAAAAGATCTGACAATTGTCTCATGTACATAGTCTAATGAATGGTGAACATTTGTGCAACCCAAAGAGGGCATACACTGTATCAAAGTAAACTTAAAAGCTTGCCTTTGCCTGTCTTGGGATCACGAACCAGTTTCTCTTTCTCTTTCTTCCCTGAAGATACAAATTATACGAGCTGAATTAGCATCACAATTTCTGAGGCAAAATGAATGCCCCCCTGAAAAAAAATATCTGTACCTTGCAGGTGCATGGGCGAAGCTAAGCACAATAGTAAAATGGCACTAAAAAAATTATTTTTAAAGGATACCACAATATCTGAAAAATTTGTGAAGACCATTTCCACTAGACCAGTATCTATTGATCTATTGGTCCCTGTTCCCTCAGGAATAAAACATCCATACATGGACTGAATCAAGAAAATTTCTTTAACTATGAGTAAAGAGAAGCACATACATACAATATCGATCATTTAGGGCTAGGAGGAGCAAGACCTGACAGACAGAAAAAAAACAACTGGGAAAGTAAGAAAGCTACTTCCGGCTTCTATCACCCATCTGTGAAAAGAAGGTTAAGTACAAAGAAATACCATAGGGGGGGAAAAAAACAAACAATTGTTCTTCTGTGGAGCAAAATAAATAATTTTTTAGGAAGCATTATGAGGCAATGAACTAATTAAATCATAAGAATTGGAAACGCACAGCACTACTAAACAAAAGAAAGTTATTCAAGCTAGTGTGGGACATTATATCATGATTCCAGGAAAAGGTTATCAGTCCAGGATAGTCATGAAATATCTGGGAGAATTGGCAGGCAAGCCAGAGCATCGATTCCTTTCCCACAGACTAACCTTGTGGTTTTGAGGTGGTCATGGCTGTACTGGTGACCAGTGATGGGGAATCTCTCTCCCTGGTCTGGGGCGTGGCCCTCCTGCCTTCAGATAAACTCTCCCCTTCCTCAGCAACCTTGCTCAAAATGGAAGGCGCAAACTCTGTCAGGCTGTCGTAAACTCTGTGAACGGAACACACCGAGTAAGGCTTGGCAAAGAATAAGAGTCATACAATTGGAACGGGCAGCTCACGTCGAGTTTTAGTAAATTGCAATTTAGTCACATTTCTTGATTTAACAACTTCAAAAGTTTGGTAAAAACACAATGCTCAGTAAATTCATGTCTTTTCTCGACTCTAGCCATAAGGATTTACTTTTTAATTACTTCAAAATCTGTCTGCCTATTAATGCCTCCATATGACCCATTGGTGGGTCATTGTAGAAGAAATGTCATGGTGAATCAGTTATATTCTGACTCAAGTATGACCTAAAACATTATCCCTTTCATTTTTGTGAGTTAAGTGAAGCACATTGACACAGTAACAGCCATTTAGTTGCAGGGATAAAGAGTGTTTTTGTGCTGTAAAGCATATGGAGCACTTTCTTAGTGGAAATATGCTATATACAGTCGAACCTGTGTAAGACGGAATCGCAAGGGAGCCAGAAAAAAATTCCATCTTAGACATTTTGCGTCTTAGACAGGGGAATTTAGAGGGAGATGGAGGTTTGGGGGGAGGGGGGTTCAAAGGCCCAGCCGGTGGGATCAAGGATCGCTTGTCCGATCGGCAAGCAGTGGTCAAAACTTCACACCTCCCAATTGCTATCCTGTCTGATCATGACACGCGTCAGTCTTACTTATATTAACCACCAGTGCTTGCCTTTTATAGGACCACTGTTTGACCTCTCCTTTGCTTCCACCCTTAGTCCCATCCACCAATGCCACCCCTCACTGCCATCATGTAACAATGATTCAAGGAACTCTTTTTTCGGCTGGCCGTACGATCAGGGTGGCAGGCACTGGTCAATCTAATTTCACACCTCTGGCTTCTAGCTACCCAGGAACGTTTTTGTAGTGGCTCGCTACTCGAACACTCTCACGGGAAGTCGTGAGATTTCACACCCACACTACACTGACCATCTGCATCACTCAGGGCTCACATGATGGGGTAACATCGAGGATACCAGAACTAAAGATTTATTTTGGTAGCCTCGGGTAACATCTACCCCCAAATTGCACCCCTACTCCCCTTCCTCGCCCAGCGGCATGGCCATAGTGTGAAGGTTAGAGCCGGTGGAACCAAACTTGTGAGTTTTGTTTCAAATCAGGGCTGAGCGGGCAAAGCATTTTCCGTCTTATTAGACAGGTGAAACCCTCGGAAGGGAGCGGATTTTTCTTTCCGTTTCCACGTTGGACAGGTTTCCGTTTTATACAGGTAAATAAAGAGTAATATATCAAGGGGGGAGCTGGGAGATTCCATTTAGACAGGTTTCCGTTTTATACCGGTTTCCGTTAAGGCAGGTTCGACTGTACATGAAATATGTCACATTGTGGTGAAATCAGGTGCTCATCAAAATTATGGTATCAACGAAACCAACATTTTTTTGCCCACTGGACAATTTTTATTGAGTTTTTTGATTTGGGCTGAACACCTTTAATGTCTATGTCACATTCAAGTAGGGATTTTATTGAAAAGTGTTGATCAAAGACACAAAATAATGTAAATTTTGCACTTAAAGACTACAGCTTTGATAATCACCAAATTTTGGCAGCCATTTTCTCGCTAATCTTACCTCTGACACCAGGCAATCCCCACCTCCTTCAATCGCAAGTTACTTCTGTTCAAGAAGGGGTTTGTTTTTTTCATCAAAAGCAAGAAAACTGAACATGCTTTATGTTTATTACCAACAATTCCATACACCCAAAAATTGATGAACGCGTGATTCTGCTGTGTTGTGACACACAACAAACTTTTTATTACAGAAAGAAAGCCTTACCCATCCAGCTGCTGTTCCACGGCTTCTAGGTCAGCGATGCTCTGGGACATGTCCTCGCGGGTGACCGCCTCACCCACCACAGCCTTGAGGGTGGCAGTGATGCGCTCGGAGAAGGTCTTGTAGTCCGACAGGTAGGCACGGATGCTGCCCGGCAGAACCTCCTCTCCCTGGTCCTGCTCTTCCAACTGTGGGACAAGAGAGGTTAGTTTTAGTTATAGTAAGAGTTTTATGGCACCTGCAACACAATAAGGTTGCATAAGTGCCAAAGATTAGAGGTGTTACAAGAAGAGAGTAACATACACAAAAAAGGAGGGGAGATAGAGACAATAGATTTTTTATAGGTAAGAAGGAACAAACCACACCAAAGCACCCGCCAACCACCCACACATGAAAGGTTGAGTGAGAAAAAAACAACATGAACTACAAAAAATTTGTTGTTCTTCTTTCAGTGCGAGATCTGAAATGTATTGATAACCAAGGCATAGTCACCACCAACTTTTCTGCTTTGATACTCTTTAAAAAAAACCCATGTATTACCCTGATCTTTTTCGACTGCCTATCTATCAAAGTTCGCTCAAAGGTTATTCTTTGTCTACACCTGCCATTTTTTTGCCTTCATTTTTCCCAGTGAAGCAAGATGTTCAAGGCTTTGGTGTCAATTCAGATGTTTTAGAAACTGTTTGTCTTCTTCTCATTTGTTTTTATTAGATATTCTTACTTTAGCTGTTTCAAAAAGACCCATGGGAATGGTGCGAATGACTATGTCTCAAAGAAAGGATGAACCCTACAGGGAAGACCCTGACCTGATCATTCTGAAAATTGCATCTGATTATAAAATCCTTTCATCGAACGATGTAGGCAGATGTCACTACACATAACATCATCATCATGTGCCAAATTTGCTATTGACATCGGCAATCACAGCTCTTCAATCATTCTTTTGCTTGAATGCTCAAAAAAAATAATTACATAATCCTGATCTTTCCATTTCACTCATCTATTTAGGCTCTCAAAGTACGTTACTCTGGGTGTACCCCTGCCTCATATCTCTTCAATTTTGCTCTCGCTAGATGTTCAAGGCCTTTATGTCTATTCAAGTGTCCCAGAAACAGCATTTGTCTTTTCCCAATTGTTTTTATCAGGGAGCAGCCCACATGGGCCTCTTCAAGTACTACCTCATTTGATTTTTTTCCTTAAAAGAAATTCCCAGCAGTCTTCTAAGAAACCATATTTTTGTTGCTTCTATTCTATTTTCCGACACAAAACAGCATTACTGTAAATAAGATAATAATCACTGTTTTTTTACAGCTTTATCAATTCCGTTAGCTTGTATTAAGTTCTAAAAATAAGATATAATAGGTACATATTAGTCATTCTAACCAAGGGGCAGAGAGAGCAAATCATCAGAGTACTGGTGATCAACAACAGTAACAATGGGAGGGCATTGAAATAGAAAACCCTTGTGTTCCTTTGTTATGAAAATCTACAGCTGCTGGTGTGCAAGAGGGAACTTGGAAATAAATAGCATATGGAGCTGTCTCGTAGCAGGAAAAGATTAAATTCATATGCTTTTAAAATTCCCCTCAAAGGTGGCAGCAGAATACAGCCAAATAATGTCGTAAAAATTCAGATTCATAAGGCACGTAAAAAAAAATTTTTAAACAGTAAAAGAGAAGGACAAGGAGCCAATCATATACAGACACTTTTCAGTCAAAGCCTGAAAGTGGAGGAACCATATTTGAAGCTGGTATTATGGTGCTCTCTGTCGATGAGTACATGGCATACCTGTAGACACAGACACATCTGTGTGTATGTACAAGAGAAAAGCTCAGCCATGACAGTCCAACATTACCTACCTTTGCCAAGGTCTTGAGAATAGAGCGGATATCAGACATCAGCTTGTGGTGGGTGGTGAGGTGGCTCTTGATAGCAAGCACGGCCTCTTTGATGTCTCTCTGAGGAAGCAACAGACAGAGCCATGTAAACAATAGGAGACATAGGAGTTCTCTTTTGCGGAGTCTTAGTTAACCCTGCTGATGTCACTGGCAGCCATGCTGTATTGGGCAGTGTGGACAGACCATAATCAAAAGGTAAATAGCAAAAGTGGGCAGTCACCCTTGATGGACAGCAATAAGGAGAAGAATTTTCCCCGAAGACAAAACTGGGATTCTCAAATGGGATCAGAAGTTCAGAGAAGATTCCATATGGGCTATTCCATGGTAAATGGCAGGACATTTGGACTATACTTTTTTACACTGATAACCCTGTAATTCAATATCAATTAGTTTATTGTAACTTTAAATGATCAGAACATTTGAAAGACATATTAAGATTCATATTAAATGCGGTCATTTGAAAAACAAGGATTTTAGGCAAATTCTATGACGTGTTTAGTTTTGGTAACTGACAAGACAAGCTGTACTGGTGTCTGTGGTGTAGTGATCAAGTGCTTCACAGCCGCATGCAGGAGACCAGAGTTCCATTCCAAAGTAGGGAGAATTTTTATTGAGTATCACGACCTTTCTGCAGGGATGTTGTATATCCCCCTCTGTTTGGGTTAGCCCCGACAGGCAGGCTTAAAGTCCACCTCCTAAATGATCTGAATTGTGTTGACGGAGCATTAAAATACCAAACCAATTCAAATATTTTTTAATAAGCTGTAAACAGAAGGAAGGGGAGAGCAGAATGAAAATGGAAGACAAAAAAGTCATATATCTCCAATTGAAAATTTTATTGCCCTGACTCGAATGGATCAGGAAAAAGAAAAAGAAAAATGCAGAGATCAGAGACTCTCAGAGATATAATACACGAATAAGAGGATGGTTTTTTTTCTTTGAGTAGAGAGAAGCACATCGACACAATAATGGTAATTTAGAGCTGGGAAAAAGTAAGACAGAGAGACAGAAACAAGAGAGGGAAAGTAAAGAAGTAGGACCTATCAGTGGCGCCCTCCAACCACCTTCACAAATAAGAGGACAATGACAACAACCAAAGTCAGACCAAAAAACAGTGGCTTTAAACAAGACAAAAAGGGATGAGTTATAAGACTCCACACTTTTCAACCACATTTCACCGTGAGGTTACCTGACAGTCAGAAAGGCTGTGGGCAATCTGTTCTATGTTCCTCTGGGCTTCAGTGACGGCATTCTCAACAGCCTCCTCAGCCTTCTTCATCCAGACGACGTCAGACTTTTCTCCATTCTCCAAATCCTGGAAAGTAATAAAAATAAATTCAATAGCTCTGATAGATTTTTAAAATAAAAAGTAAAGGAAAAACGCGTAGAGACAACAACGATTGTGACATAAAAATTACACAGACAGAAATAGCAGAGGCAAAGGAATATGGTAATGAATTTACCCATGGAGCACTGCCAAATGGTCGCTTTTAAGGACAAGCGGGCTAACCCAGATTTCGGGGGTTTCCAGAAATCTTGACCTACACCAAAAGTGGACATTGCCCTACCTATAGGAGAAGTTTGGTTTCATTGATGTGAATATTTGTTTAGTTATAGAGAAAACTCTCCTAGTTTTTTAATGAAACTGAACAAGGGGCAAAAACTTAACTTTCGATTTTTTCAAAACAGTCTTTTTCGGGATAGCCCACTTGTCCTTTACAGGGACCAACATTCAGCAGTTTTCAACCATCACTAAAAACAAAAACATGTTAAAAATTTTGCAGATTTTAAAGTGATAAATCAGAAAGCAAATAAAAGTACAAGTTTTGATAAAATATATCCAGGTCAGATGAAAATGAAGGTAAAAAAATACATTCCCTTCCGAGGTCCAACTAGAGGCTTAAAACATTACAATATAGGGATTTTTTTTTGGAGGCTGTGTGTTTGTGTATGGGCAGGTGTGTGGGGGTGGAGGGAGGGCATGGCATTATGACGGCTTGTCCACAGCGTGATGATAATTTATAGCAAAGCATCCGCAACGAGAGAATTGGGCAGTCTTCTTGGAAAGGTATGTGGAGCTGTTGGTGGACAAAATATAGCCGCCGTCATGTTGTACAGGTGGTTTTTTGGTGGTCATTTGTACAAGTGGTCGCTAGAGCAGGTTCAACAGTATGTGAAAGTTCTCATTCCGTTTACAGTCAGAGATCATATAATTATAAAGTGTGTCAGAAGACAGACAGATGCTTGTGAGAGGGGTGTGAGGTCTCTGAGTGCAGATACAACTAACCTTAATGCTGAGAATCTGCAGCTCTTGGTCAGACACAGAGCTGCTGGTGGACTCCAGAAGCATACAGCACTCGGAGCACCTGGAATGGGGATGGGTTGAAGGAATAAGCAACAAACAGAAGGTGTAAATAGGAGCACATGGAACAATAAACTAAAAACATGGCATTGAAATGTAGAGGCCGGAAAAATAAGTGACAAAGATGGATCCCATGCTTGGAAAAATGGAGATTTTTTTTCTATAAAATAAATAATGAATTGCTTTGCATGTGTCGAGCACAAGATCTCCAGACCACACTGAAGGAGCGTCAATAACACCCAGCTAATCTTCTTTGTTTTAGAAGGTGTTGTTACAAGAGAGCAACAAACACAAAAAAAGGAGGAGAAATAAAGACGACTGATGTTCAACATGAAAGAAGGCACAAAAAACCCACATCAAAGCACCCGACAATCATCTAGGTAATCTTCATGTTAAAAAGATCAAGTATGGATGTCAATACGACTGAAGTGATACAACTCAAGGATCCAGTAAAGAAAAGTGTAAAGAAAAATATGAATGATAAAAAGAGAGACTAAAAATAAAGGAGGCTTCTCAGTCATCGGAAAGAGTGTAAACAAAACAAAAACAAAACGATATTTTAGCAAACAGAACTCACATTTCAGCAAACTACATGTAAAACAATCTAGCATTGGCTAAACTTGCACTGCAACTAGCATTTACTAAACTAACAATCAAATCTAATAATATTAATAATAATAATTATATAACATTTATATAGCGCATTTCCAAAAAAAGTAGCTCAATGTGCTTTACATTGGAATACCTATTTTCAAAACCTTTCTCACTACTTCCTTTCTTCTCATGCAATATATATTTATGCACACACACACAAACACATACACACAAACAGACTATTTTCATTCAGACGTAGACACAGAACAACTATAATAAAAATAACGCTAAAAGCTTATGAAGGATAGGCCTGTGGGGAACAGAAAATGCTTAAGATGTCTTTTGAAGCTATCGAGTGTTCTTGTAAACCCCTGCATCTACCAAACAAACTTCGGCTAATCCTCCACATACTTATTGAGGAGCTGCATGAAGAGCTTGTCCGTAGCACTGGCCTCCTGTGTGTGTGTGCGCAAAGCCTCCAGATGCAGAATGCTCTGGCACAGCTGGGTGGCCTCTGACACTCGCTTGCCCTCCTCCTGATGAGAAACGAAATGATGCATCCTTGAATGTTATTGGCCAGGCTTTTTTTCAAATCAACACTCTGCTAGTTTTAGTTTTAGTAAGAGTTTAACGACACTTGCAACACAATAAGGTCGTATAAGTGCCGAAGATTAGAGGTATTACAAGAGGGTAAAAAACACAAAAAAGAAGGAGGGGAGATTAGAGGCGATGGAAGTTTGATACGAAAGAAGAAGCAAACCACACAAGAGCACCTGCCAACCAACCACTTTGCTAAACTCGACTTAAAGTTACTTTAACAAAAAAAGGCCACAACACAAGTTGCTAAGGTGTTTAACAATGAAGTAGTCTTCCAAAATCAAAGGTGCAAACTGCCTATGTACTACAAAACTGCAGAACTTTTCAGACCTTGTGAAAACATGCCTTCATGTCTCAAAATGTACAGCTCATATTGTCTTAAACATCTTGTATGTAGACGATTTTTATATAGTCAACTTGAAGTCGGGCAAAATGCAGACAAATTCAGAAATCCCGATTTCCACATTTATCTCGAGTATGTTCATCTTAAATGTTAGCCATATCTTTATTGTTTGTTTTAGTAAGAGTTTTACAGCACTTACAACTGCATAAGGTCATATGAGGGCGAGGAGATTAGATGTGTTACAAGGGAGTAACAAACATAAAAAAGAAGAAGGGGAGATAAGGATGATAGATGTTTGATAGGAAAGAAGAAGCAAACCACACCAGAGCATCCGCCAACCACCCACGCCATATCTTTCTTTAAACAAGTGAACTGGTATCTTCTTTCCTTTCATAGTAACACAACAGAGAGATAGCCAGCCAAACCAAAGACAAGACAGTGTGTACCTCGATAAACTTCTTGCGATAACTGATGGCATTCTCAAAGTTGCTGAGCACGGTATTGAGTGAGGGGTTGGCTCCCGCTGCCCACCGCAGTCTCTGGCTGATGCTGGTCTCCATCTGAGAGTAGTGCTCCTGACAGGAGGTCAGCACCGTCTCCTGAGACAGCACTCTCTGGGTCGTCTGTTTGTGTGCGGGAAGGGGAAGAAGACAATAATAACAAAATTATAATAATGATGATGATAATAATAATAATAATAACAAAAATAATAATGATGATGATAATGAATATCATGATGATGATTTTTAAAAAATATATATAAAAAATAAATAACTAATAGTAATAATAATAAATAGCATTTGCATTCACATAGCATAAATTTCCGCTCAAGAGCAAGCTCTACCCACTTTACATCACAAAATACGAAGTTTAAGTTCCTATTTATATTCAGGTATCTCCATAAAAGCCCCCATAACTTCACACGGACTCTCTTAGCCGCCATGTTCAATCCAAATTACCATTTTGATCCAAGGGGGACAAACAGCTTTGTGGCCTAATTAGAAAATGATGGACTTGTGGGCCCGTTAGTCAGGCATACACACACATAAAATAAAATAAGCATTTGCTTTTAGTAAAGATTAGGAAAGAAAAAGCAGCAGTTCCCTGTTGCAGTTCAGGCACAGTTATAAGCATGACATTGATGAATCAGCCCATTTCCAATTCTACTGAGTATAAGAACATTGAGAATGCCCTAAAGACACTTCAGTCAGTAGCACCGCCTGGGGTGGGGGGGGGGGGGGGGGGGGGGGGTAAATAAACATTCGCAAGGACACAGAAGAAAAATACATTCAAACTGCAGTCACACGCATCCTAACTCCCGACTCTCCTCTCTGTTCTCACCTTCTTCATCTCTGACATGACTGAAGCTCTGGCTGGGTGCACCAACTGTCCCGTCTGCCGGCCAGACTGGGTGAAGACATCCTCGTGCAGCCACTGGTAACGGGACAGCTGTGGCTGCCATCGATGCACTTGGCTCTTCATCAGCAGGATGTGTGTATCCAGACGCCTGGGGGACGGAGAAACACGGAGCAACATGGAGAGACCTTGACAGGCATTGAGAGATATTAGAGGACATGGAGAGACAAAGAGAGAAATTGAGACACATGGAAAGACATTGAGAGACAAGGATAGTTTAGTTTTAATAAGAGTTTTACGACACTTACAACACAAATAGGCCATATAAGTGCCGAAGATTAGAGATGTTACAAGAGAGCAACAAACATAAAAAAGAAGAAGGGGAGATGAGGACAATAGATGTTTGATAGGAAAGAAGAAGCAAACCACACCAGAGCACCCGCCAAGCACCCACAGACCTTGACAGACATGGAGAGATATTAAAGGACATGGACAGACAAAGAAAGACACTGAGACACATGGAAAGGCATTGAGAGACAAGGAGAGACATGATGACAAATTAAGAAACATGGAGGGAGATGGAGAGACTTGGCATGGAGAAAAGTAGAGAGACGTGGAAAGACATGAAAAGACATTGAGGGACAGGGTGTGTGTTCTTTGTAGCTGGCTGGTATGTCAAAAGCAATTACATCATACTGTCTCTATTTTCGGAATGTGAAATTTACAAACAAGATGAATTTGTGATGAGTCCGGACGGTTTGGTCCACTAGGTACACATTTCATAATTTGGGTTTTTGGCATAGATGCAAAAGTAGACATAATTCCCCTTCATATGACACTAACATCAAATTATAATTTTGAGGGACATGGTGTGTGCTCTTTGCAGCTGGCTGGTATGTCAAAAGCATTACATCATACTGTGTCTATTTTGGAGATGTGAAATTTACAAACAAGATAAATTATTATGTATATCATGACAAAACGAAAATCTCCCTCCTCCAATCAATCCAGTTGAGTACTCTACTCACTTGGCTAGATCCAACTTCCTCCAGGCTGTGTCCAGGTTGCTGGTCAGAGCTGTGATGGCGGTCAAATGGCGATGCTGAAACTGACCAGTGGTCAAACAGGTCTCCATGCCCTTCTTGCACAGGGCGTCCAAAGGCACCTTCCACTCTGCCCCAATGTCCTTCAGCTCAATTTCAGCACGGACGTTCACACCCAGGCCTCCGAGGAAAACGCAAATGATGTACCCCAGCACTTGAGACGGGAATCCCAGTAGCTGAAAGACAATAATAAAATAATGACTTTACCCATTGATATTACCATTAAGAGAGCGTTAGGTTAGCTTGTGAGCTAATTCTATCAACAGAGAGGACAGATGGTAAAGGCAAGAAAAGAGGGGGGGGGGGGAATTAATATGTATGCAAAAACCAAGAAAGTTCCTGACTGGTGCAGTGTGTTTCTGGTGAAGGAAATGATAGAAGGCCACTCCTTAAACCCCCTGTCTAGGGTGCACTGTTGTGCACTCTTTAAGATATGCGTTATTTGTTTTAGTAAGTTTTACAGCACTTGCGACACAGTTAGATCATAAAAGTGCTGAAGATTAGAGGCGTTACAAGAGAGTAACAAACATAAATGAAGGAAAAGAGATCAAGACGATAGATGTTTGATAGGAAAGACGGAGCAAACCACACCAAAGAAACCCGTCAACCATCCACCCTCCTTGAAATTTAAGTGAATAATTATGGTCGAGCATACTTCTTTCTGGTCAGCTCTCCCTTGAAGGCCAGCAACGAGAACAATTGCTGAGATGAATGCATTCCAACAAACCTGCTACATTTTCTATATCCAGTCCACGGTCTCTAAATATTCACAGCATTGAAGTTGACTAGAAATTAGAACTAATATTATTCAAATAACTATTAATAATGGTCAGTTTCAGAATCGCCATTTTACTAAATTTATTCAAATCTTAATGAGGAGTAGAGTTTTTTCACAAAAGGCATAGTAGGCAGGCAATGGTCCTGGCTGAACTGCCTGCCCCAGGAAAGCTCGTCACCAAGGTGTCAAGTGTCAAAACTATGGACAATATTAGAACTTGAGGGCGAGGGTAAAAAGAACATGGGACAGTCAACATTCTCTAGAACCAACCTTGCCTCATGATACTGATTTTTAAAATAATTTCATTGTTTTAATAAAAGCATTACCACAAGGCACTTGCAACGCAATTAGGTCAAATAAGCGCCAATGATTAGAGGTGTTACACGAGAGTTACAAACACACGATAGATATTTGATAAGAAAGAAGGAGCAAACTACACGAGAGTACTCGCAAACCGCTCACAAGTTAAATATGATCTGGCTATTGACGTAACAGGATCATGATCTAGGAAAATTGATACTTCCGAGAAAACGGAAAATGAGAGGATAGGAAAATGAAGTAAAACCACAGCCCTTATCAGACCCAAACCATTAACGAATCACTTACTTGCTTCCTCACAAAGTCAGCAACAAATTTCTTGACCGGCTTTGCCATCTGCTCTTCATCAAAGATAGCTCCACCACTGATGCCTAAAAGAGACGACAGATGAAAACAAGTCATGATCCAAAAACACCTGCCAAAAAAAAGTTTTCTTTTCAAAGTCCTGTTCAACAATGCAAAAGTTGATGGGGGGAAAAAAAATGTACAGCATCAGAGTTCCACAAGGGACTTGAGACGCTTGTTTATCTGATGCTAGGGATTTGCGCAGCTCTCTGCAAATTCAAAATTACTTTCCACAGGTAAATGAAAACTTTGTCTTGAAACTCAAGAGTTAAGAACAAGCTTACTATGACTACTCATACAGAAAATGAAGTCTGACCATCAAAATTTCATATGAACAGAGGAAACGAAAATAAAAATGCAGTCCACTTGCAAGTACCTCAGTTTTTGTGTTCAACTCTGATACTGGGCTGAGTACAATAATCATCATGAATAGGCAGCCTTGACCGAAACCAGAAATGCAGACCTGCCACTCTATGAAATCTAAAAATCAGGATTTTCAGAGTTAAAAAATCAGGATCTGGTGAAAAAAATCGGGATCAACGTCATAAAGGGCACTGGGGAAGGCGGGGGTTGTCCTGGTTCCCTTTTAAGAGGCAAGTATGCAAGGCAAAACTTTTGCAGGAATAAGTTCACGTTTGGGCCTCTAAACAGAGGGAAAACTGAAAGACAGCATATATGTACTCGAGTCTAAGTTGGATAGACTGGGGGAGCGAAGGTCGCAGTGATGCTGAAACACTCGTAGTCTTGAAAATAGCTGACACGCAACTCTAATCATCCACGCAAAACGCCCGCCGCGTTTTAACAACGTTTGACTTCCATCACATCGAAAAAAAGATCGCGCCAAGGTTGTTCATTTTTTTTCTTATTCCCTTCCCCTTAATTAGTACCTGTATCACGACACGCACTTAAAGCCCAAGCGTCAAAACAATACCCCCACCCCCTCCCCCCGGCCGTCCACACTGGTTAAGTCCCGAAAAACACCTCGACCAACGCGACCGGTGTAAATGAACTTTGTTGACCCCGACAACCGACGGTCCCCGACACATGCGCTACTCACCACACGTACGAGGTCATGTCATGTGATGCAAATGAGCATTTGAAACTAGGTCGATTTTAGTTTAAATAACGTGCGTTAGTCATCTACTAGATCTAGATTCGGCATAGATGCTTTAGAAAATAGCGTTCCAAGTTCCTGCAGATAAAAAGTCCAATCGGTGTTTCCAAGCAAAAGAGATTGCAGAACTTTTTATATTTTTTTCTAAGAATCGGACGCAACAGACGCAACCACAAAAAATCAGGATACTGGCGATCGAAATCGGGAAAATCGGGTTGCTTGAGATTTGGGGGAAAAAATCGGGATATCCCGAAATCGGGACAGTGGCAGGTCTGGAAATGTGAACAAACTAGTCACTAAATATTTAAGTGTAAGAGTAAGAGCTTTATTGCACTTGCAACACAACTAGGTCATATAAGTGCCGGAGATTAGAGATGTTACAAGAGAATTTCACCTAGCTGTGTCATCTTTGACTCAGAGGTAGACGTGTAATGACCTTCCATCCTTCATGGTTGCGAGCTGCCGTTGCACATTCTGCTATATCCAGGCCAGTCCATGTTTTTATCCTTACATTACTTTGGAATCGTACGTGGTAAGTTCCCCTACCTTTTCCACGGTGGCCGGCCACATTCGTCCAACATTTTCAACACATCCATAAGAAAAAAAATATGACCACACAGGGATGACAACTTTTCAAAGCCAAACTAACCTTGGATAGCAGCTGCAAACTGAGTAGCCATGTAAAGAAATTCCTGAATTGCTTGGAGTCTTTTGAGGAAGAACAGACTGTTCAGTATTGGCCGAGTGGTCTCGTTGAACGTCGACAGCTGGAAATTTTACAACACAACACAGAGTGGGTTAATCCTACTGTTTTAAATTGTGTTTCTTAATTATGTGCTTATGTCAAATCAAATCACTGAAATAAAATCCTCAAATTGTTATGATAAGACCAAAAAAAAATTGGCCTATGTTTTGTTTTGGTAAAGAGAAGCACATCAACACAATAATGGTTATTAAGTGCAGGGCAAAAGTTAGAAAGACCGACAGAAACAAGAAAGGGGAAAGTAAAGAATTAGGACTTACCAGAAGTGTCCTTCCACCACCCACAAAAACTGGACTATTACAAGCCGAGATGACAAAAGGAGCAACTACAAATCCAGTTGTCTTCGTATGTTTTCATATTCTTGACTTCTAATTTTAAACAGACAGTAAAATTATGCGGGAAAATATGAAAAAAAGGGGGATACTTTAGGGTTAGGACCTCTGTCAAGAAGCTTTTAAAAATGAATCCACTACAAACTCAAGTATAAATTCTCTTAAAATTTTAAACTTACTTCAAACAGCAACGATCCAAACTTACTTTTTGTTATTTCAACAATCACACAAACACACCCCCACAATTATTTTAAGACATAGTATGAAATGCAACTCCCATTTCTTCTTAAATTCAACCCCCCTTCCATCTCAACAAGTAATTCGCATACAAACCGTCATACAAATATGCACGCACACTTAACACTTTGCCGCCTCATCTCGCCGATTGGCGATGTTCATCACCCAGTTTCTTTGGAAATTCCCAGAATTAATTTGATGGCAAAGTGTTAAACACAGAAAGCGATTCTCTCTCGCTCACAGTAGACATCCCAAAAAAGGAAGTAAGTCCCAGTCACCTGCATGGACTTGGCCTCCCTCACTGTGTCCACTTTCTTCCACACGACCGGCACATCCAGGGACTCCATGCCGTCCAGCAGCTCAGCGAAATCCGACTCGAGGCGGGTGAAGAGCCCATTAAAGCCCATGAGCAGCATCTGGCCCGAGGTCAGCTGGTCCACAATCCCTCCCTGCTGTGCGCTAGCCCCTCCCGAGGGGAGCAGAGTGGCAAACTCTTGCTGCAGCCACTTCACCTCACTCAGGAGATCTGTCGGCTTCTCATCCTGGGGAGGGATTTTTTAAGTTTAAAAAATTTTACAGCACGTGCAACATAAATTGGTTGTCATATAAGTGCCAAAGATTAGAGGTTTTGCTACTAAAGAGTTCTATACAAAAAAGAGAAAGAGGAGAGATAAAGACAATAAATGTTTTTAGTTTAGTTTTAGTAAGTGTTTTACGGCACTTGCTACACAATAAGCTCAAATAAGTGCCGAAGATTAGAAGTGATACAAGAGTAACAAACACAAAAAAGAAGAAGGGAAGACATAGATGACAGATGTTTAACATTATCCACCATGCAGCGCACAGAGCGTGCAATATTTATTCCCACGGTCCAGGATACAGATGCGGTACATGCTATATCACACCGTCGCAAATCGGTGTCCCGTGGGGAAAAGGTACTGCTTCTTACCATCGCTGTTAGGCAACCTGTGGGGGGCAAAGTGTTAATAGGAAAGAAGAAGCAAACCACACGAAAGCACCTGCCGATAAATGTGAGATTGGAAAAGAAGGAGCAAACCCCACCTGAGCACCCACCAACCACCCACAATATCTAGTTTTGAGTTGTGAGTGAAGAGAAGCAGGTAAGACACAGCAGAATTTTGATAAAGCAAGTAAGACGAAAACAACAGAGGAAAAGAAAAAAGAGTGGGAACTAATAGTGGTACCCTCCAACCACCCGTTATTAGGCATTCGACTCCGACAAGACTGTATCCTAGGGTTCATAGCCATGAAAACTTCTCAAACAACCCATGTTCCCAAATACATTGACCTCAAAGAAAACTTGGTGACTTTCAAGCCATCATGACCTCTTTTCAACCAGTACCAATTTCATGGATTTTCCTGAACAGCCAGAATTATACCTGTGCTTTCACTCACTTTTTGTATAATGAACAATTTTGAATGTAGAGCTCCATTTCATTCACTATACTTGTGTGTGCGTGTGTTTGTGTGCGTGCGCGTGAGTATGTGTGCGTGCATGCAAGCGTGCGTGTGAAAGTGTGTGTGTGTGCACGAGAGAGGAATGATTACAATGATGGTTTCAATTCACTGAGAGAAAGGAAAGCCCCCATTGACTGAAGGAAAACAGAGAGCACAAACACACACAAGTTCAGACCTGTATTCCCATGATGGCATTGCGATGCAAAAGTTCCAGCTGGCTGACCATGGTGGCCAGAGGGAGGCTGCTACCGTTGATCACTTTCTCCAGTCTCGTCACGATGGACAGGAAGTGCGGATCGCTGGCCTGCGACAGCTTGACCGCCTCCGGCAGGATGATGGAGCGGAAATTCATGTTCAGATCCTGGTCGGAGATATACACACAACAGATGCTGTTTAACTCTTTAACTCTAGAATTATTTTCCACATTTAAACTGATTTTTTTTTCCAGATCTCGCAAAACTTGTAACGGTGGATACACGCAAAATATTCATAAAACTGTTTCAAAGTGAAAGAGGAAGTCGTTTATACATTTACCTAACACTTCCAAGTCAAAATAAATTTATTTTGATTCGTAAAAAAGAGTGCAACAGCAATTAAATGCTTCATGCAGCCTGCGATCTGACCAGATGCTGGGACTGTCAACTCGAGGACTGGGAGATTTTCATTGGACACCCCCATCATCTACTCAAGGTTATAGACTTAACAATCAAGGTTGGAAACACACTGATGTTATCTTGCTCTAATCTTGTAATAACTGTTTCTTTTTAAAAAATTTCCACACACCAAAATAAACCCTTCACACTTAAATGAAAGGAGACACAAAAGTTAGCCCACAGCATGTTCATGCTATCTTTATAGTGCAAGCTGACTCCTATTTTTATGGATGGCTCACAAACCAACATCGGAAAGAACGAAATTGATTTTTTTTTAACAGTTACACGATCCGAGCATAATAAAAGCAATATATTGTCACTTTCCCAAGGAAATAAGTTCCTCCAATGGTTTTTACTCACTGCACAGCAAGAAAAAAACTGTTTAACTTAACTCACTCACTGCCAGGCATTTCTCGGCAGGATAACTGAGGAATGCCAGGCTTTCGGGACCTTTTTCAAAACCTCACTGTGAGCTTATTAATTTGTGTACAGCATTGAACTTTTCCACAAACAATGACATTGAAACATACTCAACAAATCAAAAAAAATAATTTTGTGATACCTTTACCGTGTGAAATTTTATGAGTTTGTGAATATGTGGCAAAATCGAGAAAAAAACCTTTCACATAACATTTAGGTGCTTGGTACATTCAGTCGATATTCAAGCCTTTATATCTTTATCTCTGAAAGAAATAGATTTTGTTTCAACTCACAAATGTTGAAGAGTCACTTTGAAAAGATATCTGACAAATTTTATATAACTGGAATATCATTTAAGTCATCAGTTCACCCATCCTGAGCATCAACGTACTGGGGGAGGGGTGCCACTATTTGAAGTTTGTTGTGTAGACCTAGGAGGATCTATGTCAGCTGTATTCTTATCATTTGGGGTCTAAATTTACGTTGTGTTATCTTTGACGTTTGTGTGACGGGACCGGGAAGCATCGGATCATAGGTCTGAGCATGGGGAACACCCGATTCTAGATCTCTAGGCCTAGATCTAGCACAATTGTCATCTTCACTTGAGTCCGCACCTCTCCTATTTCCTTTCCTATACTCATTATCAACTCTGTATGATGGTTCATCATCACTATCATCTGCAAAAAGATCTAAATCTGACCCTTTATTGACGAATGGGTCTATCAATTCAAATGTTCCGACCTCGTTGAGACGCCCTCACCACCGTAACTGAGCGTCAGTAGTTTTTAGTTCGTTTCAGGTGAGTTCGAAAAAGTCTGATTTTTAAGTAGCTTATTCAAGGGAAGTTACTGCAACAATGCGGAATCGAAACTAAACTGGTTTATGTCGCCTACTTCCAACTGTCAAGCCCGAAACGCGTCGGGGAATGTTTGAAAAATAGTAGAAAAAACGCACCCAACGGGTTTTGGGTTTGGCAGGCAGCGGTCTACGCGGATCACCCGACAGGGTTCGGGCATGGCAGTGAGTGAGTTAAGATACAAGGTTGTTGTTTTTTAAGACATCAGAGCAAACAAAACACAGAAGCAAATATCAAAATGAACAATATTAAACAACTTCTGCACAGGCACAGCAAAGAAACAATGCTTCAAAATATGAACATTTCATTTTAGTACTTCTTGTGAGGAAAGATACAGACCTGTAGGGCTATGTACACTTTGTGCGTGGCTCTCAGGCTCTGCTGCAGGCTGTTCACATGGACCAGGTCTACAATCTGTGTGGTAAACAAATAAATGCAGTTGTAGTCAGCACAACAGTCACATTCTGTTTCAGTAAGAGTATTATGGCACAAAACAGTAACAAACACAAAAAAGAAGGAGGAGAGAGAGATTAGGACGAAAGATGTTTGTCAGGAAAGAAGGAACAAATCGCACCAGAGCATCCGCCAACCACCGACCCATTAGCCATGATATCTTACACTGATAACAGGCTGTCAAAATCAGTACTGAAAAAAAAAACCCTCATTGAAACTAATAAAAATTGTTTAAACACTCACTCAATAACGATCAATTAGTGTTCCGAAAAGACAAGAGATATACAGAATCAATGGAGAAAAAGTGAAGAAGTAGAACCTACGAGTTACCCTTGGCAACCGTCAACCACCCTCAAGACAAATAGGAAAAAAGAGCCTGAGAGGTGCACCCAAAGCGAAAAAATAGTGAAAAAAGGGAAGAAATGTGGGGAGAAAAATGAACGGTCAAACATAAATGAGTCGAGCCGCAAGACATTAGCCATATTTAGTGTGAACAATTTGATAGTTTGCTTGCAAGAGTAAACAGAGCCACACCAACAAAATACAGATGACTAAAAAAGAAGGAAAAAGATAGAAACCACAGAATGAGAGTAGAGACGGACATATTTCGCTCAAGAACAGAGTGCGGTAACAGTACTCTTTAAAAAAAAAAAAGAAGAAGAAAAGAAACAGAAAATAAACCTCCCACAAGATGTGAACCAGAAAGCTGTCAAACCCCACCTGAGAGTAGCGGTTGAGAGTTTCCAGGAACTGGTTCACGTTGCCGCTCATGCTGCAGAGTTCATCAAGGAACCAGTCGCCATCCCGAGAAGTCAGGTCCATCAGTCTGTCTCCAGCCCCTGGGGTCAAAGAACATGTGCATAACATACCAGCCATTTTGATTGGAAAACATAAGGTACAAGGGACAAAAATGTCATACTATGATGAATGAACCATTTCTAAAGTGGATTCAAATAACACATCAACACTTCTGACCCAGTGCTGTACCCAAGTATCTTTTACATTTAAAAATGAGAAGAAGAAAAAACCATCAAGAATAGACTACTTATTAGTTAGAAAAGCCTAGAAACTGGCTTGAGAGCAGTCTGCTGCAACATATTTAGGTCTATCTTTAGAGCAAAGCACTACTCTGTGCCGCAAAATTTACTACTATAGACATCTGAGTACAAACTTATTCGAACTTATATCACATTCTGCAAGGAATTTCCCCGGGAAATGTTTATACCACACATCTAAAAGAATTGCTTTATTTCCACTCAATGGACATTGTGATAAGAGAGAATTGTAAATGGTTTGACCATTTTATGGGAATCATGTAACCAAATTTTAGTGTTGTGCTTTGCAATTATTTTGTAGTGCTGAGGCTTAAAATATGAAGCAGACTAAGACTGTTGATGCTTTTATTTCATGCCTCAGTTTAATTCTACTTGAGAGAACTGACCAAAAAATCAGAACAAGAATTCAGAAACACAAATTATAGCTTTTACTGACGCAAATATAAATATATTGTACTACTATCTTTTTCAAAAACCATCAACCACAGGATGGAATTCAAATTTTAAGAACATGATAACATTCTTTTGCTTTCAGCTCATAAGCGTTGCAAGAGTTGTCCACAATTTACCTGCAGCAGCCCCTTCCATGAGCAGGTATCTCTTGTTGAGGGTGTATAGAGCAGACACAATCACAGACATCAGGCTGCGCTCTCCTTCCACGCCATTTTCTGGAGGGAGTGAAACCAAAGCAAAAGCAAGTGTATTACACAACAATGAAATATATTGAAATGTGGAGTTCTTTTTTCTTGGAATTTTCGTGGGCTAAGATCCTTTAGGATGCCATTACATTTTGTGACTTCCAATTTGACTTTTAAAAATGCTCCCATGTTTCATAACCAGTAACAATCTCGGCACAGCATCAGGGGTTGCAATTCCAATTAGTATTTAGATGTCTGACAGCGAACTCAAACCGTACCTGCTTATTTTTGTTACATAGTTGTAATTAATTCAAAACATGTAATTCATTGTAATGCGCACATGGATCAAGAGCTTTCCGAGCCCCTAATCTTCATGTAACATTCTGTGCTCTGCAGTGCATGAAGACCCACACTTTGGGCCATCTCATGAAGGCTCTCTCGACTGTCCTCATCAACAATAGCCTCAATGGTTGCAACTAATGGAGGAGTCGTTTTTGTACCTGGAGTACTTTTGCCCATGGTTTCGGTAATTCCTGATTTTATGCTTTCATAATGCTGTATTTATTGAAAGCCAGCCGTTGCTCACCAGACCAAAGTGCTCAACGCATTTCTGCTAATGTCATAACTTCTTCACTTAAAGATCTAATGATCTTTGTAGCAGACCAAATTAAATGAAACTTGGAACACAGCATCAGTTGACAAAAACTTTAGGGAACATAGGCTAAGCGTTCATGATGCAATTTAGTATTCAGAAAATGCCGCCGTCTCAGTTTGTCTGAAAATCCCCTCATACATTAAGAGGTAAAGTAATTATATGGAACATACAGAAAAAATTATTACAAAGGCAGGCCTAACTTACAAACAAATGAAGTCCACTTTCGATAAAGGCAAATGGGTCCAACATGAAAAGCAGACACATAGCCAAACACAAATATTATTAAGAGTGAGCTGCCACATGTCGTAGTTACTGAGCTGTGCAGTATACAAAGAGTCATCATGACAACAGCCAGGAATAGATATGGACAAAAATAACACAATTAGCACTGAAAACAGGTAGAAAGAGCAGACCATATCTCTGCCCCACAATCAACCATCCAAGACGTGTGAGGACCCACCATAAACAAAAAGCTTGATGGCTTCATCTGCCTCCTGCACTTGCATCTCCAAGGCTAGAGTCTCCTGGTTGTCCTGTCCTCGTCGCTCTATCAACTGTGGACACACAGGCATGGTATGAATTTTACACCCGCTTTCAACTCGTGAATTAACTTTCAAGGCTTGCTTTTGTTTCTTTGAGTAAAGAGAAGTACATCAACACAATAATGGCCATTTAGTGCTGGGGAAAAGTAAGACAGACAGACACAGAAACAACTGAGGAAAATAAAGATGTAGGCCCTACCAGTTGCGCCCTCCAAATAGCACAATAATGGTCATTTAAAGCTGGGGAAAAGAAAGACAAAGAGGAAGAAACAACAGAGGGAAAGTAAAGAAGTAGGCCTTACCAGTTGCACCCTCCACCCACCCACCCTTCAATGCTGTAAGGTTATTTTAGAGAATGAGCCTCCAAGTTCTCATATATCTCTGAGTAAAAGAAGTTCACTGCAAAAAAGTAAAATTGTCATTCAAAAGGCACAAAATAAACAGCAAACAGTATTTATAACGATTGGGATTGGACACCCGTTAGATTTACTCAATAAAACAACGTTCCTAGGAGGAAACTGAACTCAGGGCCTTCTGCTTGAAACCCTAAGGAGACCAACCACAACATCAGACCCCTGTCCAACTACGTAAAGAAAAGTTTGACTCACTGACGACACACATTCTGGTAATTTTGCCGTTTTGGGACACTTTTAAAAATGCTCACAACATCCTTATTCATACTGATTTTTCAATTCTTTACTTAAAACTTTAAAAGGTTGCCAAAAACATGCATACATAAAATATGCACACACATGTTTCTGATCAGTGTAAAGTGGTTAGAAATGTGCCGCAACATTACTTTTGGTCTGCTACTGATCAGACTTATGTGACCACTACATCCTTAAAGAGTTAGGTTAATCTTCACAAAAACACAGAACAAGTTTCAACAATTAGATTACCTTCATCAGTTTGCTGTTGGTATCAGTGAGTACATTCTGCAGTTTTGTCTCCATCGCCATGACAGTTTGGGCTTTGCTCATCTGCGACACCGGGGCCGGGCTGTACGAGTCTTGGAACTGGCTCAGGACTTCCTCACACCTGGGAAGAAAAAGAAGAACAATGAAGATACAATGATTATGATGGAAGTGGCATTGATGACAGTAATAGTGCTGATGACAATGAGAAAAGGAAAGCTTTATTTCAAATTGAAATCCATAAAATAATATTTCTTTTAAAAAGTGTATCACTAATTATTCAGTTCAGCTTTATGATTACGATTATGCAGACGATGAAGATAAGAGGAAGTGAAAAATGGAACCCTAATGAAGACAATAAAAATACTTTCTATTATTTTATCTGAGAATTTCCAACTGAACTATAATTTTTTTTATAGAAATCATAAAAATGATGATAATACTGATAGTAACAACATCATACATCATAATGACAAGGATGAAGACTTCATTTTTCAAAAGCAGAAATAATTATACTTTCAATACAAGAGTTCAGCTAGTCTGAAAAACAAGAGAAGGATGGTAACTCAATGGTGATTACAGAGAGCAACAAAAGCACTACGATACGATTCACACACAAAAAATGAAAAAGCAAGACAGTTTATTCAGCTTCTCATTTTTTATTCATACTTGCAAAAGTAACTTACTTCTGAGATGTGAAATTGCTAAGCAGTTCCTGTAGCCATCCTAAGAACTTGTATGTTCGGTTGTCTTCAGCATATACAACACCAAACTGGAGGCAATTTGGTTAAAAAAACATAAGTTCATAAAAAACAACTTTTGTTACAAATACTTTCAAATGTACTCATTCTAAAGGGATATATTATATCCATAGAAGTTAATGTGTAGGGGGGCATTACATGTGGGTCTCCTCCTCCTGATTCTTGTCTTTTATGTCTTTATCTTGCAAATACTTGTTATAATGATTAGCATGTAGTTTTAGGTAAAACACTTCAGAAAACAAAGACATAATAGCCTTTCAACTTTCAACTACATCCCTCCAATAAAGAATGAGGTCACTTAAATTGAGAAATCTCTCTCTCTCTCTCTCTCTCTATCATGCTATCTATTCTTGTCATTCTCCCAGGCTCTCTTCGACATTCTCACCATCTTCCCATCTTACCTGTGAGACAATGTTGCTGTAGAGGAGCAGGCTCTTGATGACACTCTGCAGCAGGGAGCGCCGCTGCTCTATGGCAGACACCATCTCTGCCTCCAGCTGTTCACACTGAAGCAACAACAAGAATATAATTTACTCACAAACTGGTAACAACCATTTAGAAACATTTCACTGAGTTTCTACATCCAAAAAAGATCCCTGTGCCTGAACTTAAAACAAAAGCAGAAATTTCTGCTTACTTTTTGATCAACTCCTGAAAAAAATTCAAATACAGTCAAACCTGTGTAAGACGGCCAACCATTGTCAAGGAGAAAAGTGGCCGTATAAGACAGGTGGCCGTCTTAGGCAGGACTGATCAAGATGAAGAAAACAAACTATTCCCATCTGAGGTCCCAATCGAAAGTAGCCGCATTGTTGATGTTTTTGTTGTTGTTGTGTTTGTTGTTGTAATTGGTTTGTATTTCGTTTGTTAATTTTATTTTGTTGCTGATTTTGCTCAAGGGTGACAATAAAACGAAATGTATCAGACGATAAGACCGAGTGCCATCTTAAAACAAACACATGGGTCGCCACCACTCGGAAAACGAGCGACGCTTCTGTCACAAGTTCATGTTGACGTCCTTTGTTACTTTGTTACAGACTGGGTAAACAGTGACCACTCATCTCACTTACGACTTGTGTATGAGTTATGGGAGGGGCTATGGTTTATGAGGGATCACACGCTTACCTCACCAGCAGCTGAAAATTGGTACCTATTGGTCAACAGTGGGAGGGGCCTACGCAACATGATCGGTTGGAGGGACTACCAAAAAAGTAACATCGACAGGTGATTGAATTATGACGGCTCGTCCACAACGCCAGGGGCCAATGCACAATTTATGACAAAACGTAATGGAGTCACTAAGGTGGCCGCCTAAGACAGGTGTTATTGCTTTGCGTGATAGGGGTTGTGTGTTAAAATATGGTGGCCCCGGCCGCGTTGGACAGGTGCCCGTTTTACACAGTTAAATTATATAGAAAAAACGTAACGGGGGAAATGGAAAGTGGCCGTCTGTACAGTTGACCGTCTTATAGAGGTGGCCGTCAGGGCAGGTTTGACTGTACATGACAGCTCTAGGGAATACTTTCAGTGTTTCAGTCATCTACAGTGGCAAATTTTGGCAACATGAAAAATCTTCAATACCATGAACTAACATGCAACAATTTCCTTCACACACAGTGTCTTGTGAGTCAACACAATTTGAAACAAATCTGGACCAAATTGAAAGCTGAATAAAAAAAAACACACTGACCAATAAATGATGACCAGCAACACATAAACTGATATATGTTATATTTTTTAAGTTATTGTTTTTAAGTTACAGTTTACAACATAACAGGCATTTCAAAAGGAAAGGAGAAGTACGATAAAAAAAACTATCTTAAAAAAACCCCAGCAGACTACAATAAAGAGTCCACCCATTACCCAATGTACCCTCCCAGGAAGAGATGATGTCTAAATCTTGTTATATTGTGCAGAACCAGGATTATAAAACAACCCCCTCGTCAAATAATGCATTTCTTCTCTTTGCTTTTGGCTTTAAAAAAAATGTTTTGGACTCACAGTCTAGTACTATGACCGTGACCAAAAGCAAACAGTGACTGTCACATGAAGAGAGAAGAGAAGCACAAAAATTCCACTTCTGTAAACATATTGGGAAACCTTTTTAAAAAAATTAAATAGAGAGAACACACATTCTCACAAGCTAAATGTTCCACAAGCTAATTTTTCAGAAACATAAGGTATTCAATAGTTTAGCCAGTACTACGCCGACCTGCAGTACAGGAAACCTTGGTTCAATGCCCATTAGTTTTGATACCCCTGTACCCACTAAGATCAGTATTATTAGAAACAGACTTTGAATCAGAAGTCGGTTGAGCGTCTAGGATAATTCCATGGAGCCGAGAAGGGGCAATAAAGCTACAGCACGCCATACCTGGGATATAATCTGTGACTGTCCAGCACTCTGCAGAAAGGCCGAGGAAGCAGCAAAACTTGGAGGTCCCAGCTCCAGTGGGGAAGACACGTCTCCACACAAAGTCTTGAACGACAGACCCTGAAGCTTCTCCAGGCACACCTGGTTTGCAAAAGTGTTAAACGTTTGAACTATTAAACCTCTAGACAAAGCAAATATGAAAATGTGAACACTGATATAAAATAAACTAAAAAACATGCTACACTCAAGTCAAAAGTAAACTCCCAGTCTCCCCCAAGATATAGCATTGGAAATTTCACTGCACAAAAAGCATCTTTAATAATTACATAAATTCATTTTAAGTTATGAAAACTACAGATTAACTCTAAGTATATGGAAGGTTATTTCATCTTTGTCCACAGCTAACTTTGTGATCTAATTTTTCAGAAATACGTCCCTACATCTCCACTCTTATCTAACCTTTTTGGATAAAATAAAACACTAAACTGAGTTAAAATGCATGATCCTTGCAATCATTAAGACAAACTGTTTGGGTGTTTTGTAGATTTTTATTATGACTAAACAACAAAACGATGCTGAGTGCCAGCTGAACTGGCTCGCTGTAAACTAAGGGTTAACACTATGACAGTTGCTTACAAACTATGTGACACTCTATTCTTTGGCTGAGTAAAACATTAGACTTCAACAAAACAAAACAGAGCACAGCCAGAGAAATCAAAACCGTAGACACAAGTGACTGACGAAGCAGAGCAATATGCCAGTGACATATCCATAGCCAAGAAAAGGACAGACATATGCTGCAGCATGGGGAACACAGGAGTAGAAGTCATGAAAGAGGAGAAGAAAAAAATGGCAGAAATAAGAAAAGATCAAGATGAACATTCAGGACATGATAGGACACAGGAGGAATGGAGGAGAAAGACAAAACAACACAAGAAGACAAACGCTGACCTGTGTCTCATGGCTTCAGGAGAAAGAGGAGGAGATAGCAATGAAAAAGAAAGAAAAAAAAGAGTGAAAGGGAAAAGCAAGTGGGGGTGGAAAAGGAGAAGAAAAGAAGGGGAAGAAAAAAACAGGACGAAGCAGAGAAAAAGAAAAAAAAAGGTAAGTTTAGTTTAGTTTTAGTAAGAGTTTTACGGCACTTGCAACACAATAAGGTCATATAAGTGCCGAAGAATAGATGTGTTACAAGAGAGTAACAAACACAAAAAAGAAGGAGGGGAGATAAGGACGACAGATGTTTGATAGGAAAGAAGGAGCAAACCACACCAGAGCACCCGCCAACCACCCACAAAAAAAGGTAAAGAGGAGAAGAAAAGAAGGAGGTTGCAAGGAAGAAAAGGAAGAAAAAAACCAAAGAAAAAGAACAAAAAGACCAAAGGACAGGTCACAGAAATGAAAGACTATAGCAAAAACACGTACACTGTGCACTTTGTGCCAGTTGCTGTACTCGTTGATCTTTTCTCCCACGGCCTCCATCACATGATCTCTTGTGGCTTTCAACACCATGTAGTCCGAGTATCTGTGGAGCAGAAAGAACACAATAAGACTGAAGTTGTTTTTGTCACTGTTTTTAGCAAAAGAGTGCTTGCAACACATTCAGGTCAGAAAGTGATGACGATTAGAGATGTTACAAGAAAGTAACAAACACACACACACACAAAAAAAAAAGAATGAGATGTTTTGGGGGTTTGTTTTTTG